AGACGGCATGGTCTTCAAAAGTTAGCGGCAGACGTCAAAAGTAGAGCACTTTCGTGTGAAAGAACTTCTATATATAATAAAATAGATTTTACTAACAAAACATAGAATAATTTTTGAAGAACAGTAAAATCATTACTAATAATCTAGTTTCGATGAGACTATCTTTTATGGCAGAAATAAATGCCAAGTTTATAGTTAATCTACACAAGCGTATCCGTGTAAAATGTATTCGCCGAAGCAGGCCACACACATGTTACTATAGCACGGTGAGAATTTTTATCTGGAGCGGAGGCGACCCCTCGTAAGTGGTACAAAGTAACGCTTCGTTGACTTCGGCCATACCAAGGATGAGAAAGCGCATACCTTTTAGCGACAAAGGGTCTTTTGACGTGTCATCAACATCCGGTTCGCGTGATATATTTTTAGACCCATGTTCCGATTAGAGTTAAAATGGTATTCTAATTTACTGAGACAAATTGAGTTGCGACAAAAGTACAAGATATCCACATAGAAATTGATTTAACCGGAATAACTATACGTATGGTTGTTATTCGGTTTAACAATCTGTTATTTGTGTTTCTGTTAAATCACTTAAGAATGGATGGCAGACATTTCTTTCAATGCTTTTAAAGTAGGAATGCGTTTGAGAATTATTTCTTAGGTGTGCTAGGAAAAAACACCGTCGAGTTTCTTATGTTATCGTACTTTTTATTATAAGGAGCACGTACAATGCAATATTCAGATCAATTTTAAGCAACTATAGTGTACGGTGTACCCCAAGTAAAGCCATTTGATTTAGCGTCAAACGTTGTAAAATATTGATAAACGTCGAAATTACTCGACTTGATGGAACAATGAAATATTTCTTTCCATATTATGATAATCATTAATGCAAGAAAATGCGTAGCCCCTTTAGCGTCGGTAATATAGAGTTTTCATTGTATTTGCTATATAATCTCTTACAGGAATGTAACAATCTTTTTTTGTCTAGAAGTGAGACATTAGCAACTTGATACGAGAAAATTCCAAACATTCCCAAAAAAACCATGTGTAGGTGTCACAAGCAAATAGGCACTAATCGGTTCCCTCGGGAAGTTCTACTAAGACAGCTTTTTAACGTTCATTCTGTAATATCCGTGTCAATAAAATTCCGACTCCAATCACCGTTTATATTAAAAACTCTGTGTAAATTGAAAATGTAAACAATTTTGTTGAAATCTGTTTCAACTTTATATTTACATTTAGTTCTAACGACCGGACTATTTTTAAACCGGGTTAAATGGATTTATCATTTAAGTGTGAAAACGCAACGAACGCACTAACTCACATTGCCCAAAGGCTCGCAAGTGTGTAGATGTTGGTACTTTAATTCCATTTAAAGAAAAGAACTAATAGCAATATAAAAAAATGTCCTGCCTCTTGCGCGTATGACTAGATTTTAATTGGCGAAGTATTTTAATTGGGATAGTTAGTAATAATCGTTAGTTTCTAGTTTTACCTAATAATTACCAGGATTAATGAAATGTTAATTAATGTAACTTATGCTGAATGGGTATATAATTAAAAACCTATTGAAATCTTTACTTAACTGTATTTGTTAAACTGTAAACAGAGAAAATTATAAAAACAAAAAGGAAGCTGCACAACGCGTGAACGCTGATAATAATCAATTAAAACCAAAATTCATTTGTATTCTAAAACACATACAACTTTTAGTAAAAAATGTTTTTTTTTTAATATTGCATAATTCTTTTCGATGGAATTCATTGATAAAGTAAAAATTTAATATCATATTTCCTATTACCATTTTTAGTGTAAGCTATTTAAATGTTTAAAGAGCGTACTTACGAACTTACTGTTCTATATTTGTCACCCACTGATAAGATAGTAGATCCGAAATAGAAGATAACTAGTACCTTCGCTGACAAAATCGGGTTCAATACTTTTCCTTCTATTTTAAACAGAAAGGATTTCCAAAACAACTATAATTATTTTGCACACAAATTGCATACATATTATTGTTATGAAAAAGGGATATTTAGATTTACTTACTGTTTTTAAATCCCGAAGTCATGCTCTCACACATGACCTCGGGAATACAATACGTATAATTAATACATTACGAATAAATAAGAAAGATCGGTCCCGTTTTAAAGACGGATTATATGTTATTAAATTGAAGTAACTTGGACATTGAAACACAAAAGTAACATACGAATAAAAAAAGGAGGCTTTCATAAAATAATCTCCACTCATATTTGGCCGTTCACAGATAACAGAGACAACAGCTAAAATGAAAGTAATACATCTTCCTTAATCTGTGCTACACATTCACTTATTTTACATTCAATTTGGGTGATATTATTTTTTATTTAATGTCTTACCCTCAATACGAAACACTTTTTATTAAAATTATATTGAATCATATCATCGTAGAGATAATTACTACATACAGTGATATATAATTTAATTATTAAATATGTAATGATTAAATATCTAGAAAGTCGAAACTTAATTTGTATGTAAATGACATTGTGCAGAAAAGTTTTCATACAAATTTAGTTTTTGACGTTCTACATAAAAATTTATTAAGGCCCCTGTAAGGTAAATGGAGAAAATATATATAGGTATGTACTATGTATGTTATATCATTAACAAAAATTTTGCTAAAATAAGGATATTACAATTATATATTATGGTTTACGTAAAACATTAAAACAACTATGCATTCTATTACTCCAAGTTAGCATTGTTGTGGAAACAGTTCTGCCCCAGTTTCAATGGGCGTTATAACTTGGCGTAAGTGATGTGGTACAGTTAAATGTCTCGGGTATTGTGTAACTATTAGCGGAGATTATAAGAATAATTCAACTTTTTCCTATTGCGTTACGCTTTAATGGTTGAATCATAAGGAGCGAGAAGCTTTATAAACCCCCTGGGAATACGTGGGAACGATATCGTAACTTTTTCTTATTGCGTTACGAAATAATAAACGCTATTACTCCAATATTGTAGTTTTTTAAGTTATGATTGTAGTGGTTAGAAAAGTAGCTACTAATTTACCTACATAATATGGTACTGACTACCTGCAGACCATCTAAATATAAAATGGCAAAATCTTATCTAACTTATTGCGAAATTATTTTTATAACTCTTCTATAATTTTCCACAATATATTAAAGAATACGAATATGACGAGTTTAACTATTTAGGTTCACATTGTATAAAATGAACAAAATTAATGTCTCATTTAAATAACACGACACGCTTTAACGGTTACGTGAAATCTTTATCTAATTAATATTGTTTTATTTTATTATAATTATACATGCATATATTATTTTTGCTTCACAGGAAATACAATGTTGGACGGCACATACAGAAATACGTTGCCATTATAAATAAGGAACACCAAAATGGTTTAAATATTAGGTATATCAGGCATAACATTTTGCAGTTTGTAAATATTTGGAGATCAGCCTAATAAATGATCCCGACACTTAGGTTGATACTAATTAGTTAATATTCCTCACCGATAACGAAAAGGAATGCTGTATATTCTATGAATAGATCTCACCTTTTTCCAAGAAACAGCCGGACAATCCCAATTCGGATATGGGTCCCGAGGTCCGCAGTAGTTAAAATTGCCGCATTCCACTACAGGGCGCGAGGCAGACGCAGCCTCCCTATCTGGACCGGTTGTTTACTACCGCGCTGGTCATCCAAACTGACGTTTAGACTGAAATCATCACATAAACACCTATTGAATCACTATAATTGTCTTGTCGGTGTGGCAAATCATGGCTGCGCGATGTATTTTAAAAAGATCGTGAACGATCAATGTCGCGGGTTTCCGAATAACAAATAACAGGTAGGTCTCGTGTGACGATGCGCACAAAACTGCCGCGGTTGGCTGCGGCGATGCCAGCGCCCTCCGCGCTCACCGCGCAAGCGCCACGCACCTCGCGGCTCGCCTGCCCCTCTCAAAAGTCAACTAGGTACATAAAGCCTCACATAATAATATATCCATACTAGAAACATTTTTTGTATGAAGTCTAGGCTCTTGACGTAACGAGCCCTCTAACGGGAATGGGATAAGCACCCTCGCGTAGGAGTATCTCTACTGACTTCTGCATCTAAACTATAATGAATAAAGTAATACTTCATGTTTCAAATCAGAATTCTGAATTTAAAATGGGACTCAAGGGGTTCAATTGTATTCGACAAGAATTTACGTGAGTTCTTACATAATGCTGGATGTTCGTGCAAAATAACTGCGGGGGCATGTCCATGTACATATTTAATAAAAGTTGCTACAGGTTTGACCTACTTTATAGACCACACAAATATTTAACCAAGTGCGGGTGTGGCATTTCACCCTTGCAAAATTTGGCATGATTTCTATGCATTCCGGCTACTCTAAAATGAAATGTACCTACCTATATGCTAGCTTTATTGTGTAATGTATATCTATCAAATAATTTTAATTTCAATTTTAGGACAACTATGCTTTACAACATACTGGGAATTCGTTATTTGAATTACCTAAAATGAAACCACTAGATCAATCGTATCTACCCTCAAGTTGTAGTGTTGTGTCAGAAAATATTTTAACCCCAAAAAATTATTCGGTAAAAAGGTTTTTGCTGAACATTTCGCTATCGTGGCGTTAACAAAATGTTAAGATAACTCTGATAGCACAATTCATAAAATACTTACCCTTACCACGTAAAGTGATTTTGCTTCCAGCCCCTGATACATTATTAAGATGACACTGACAATTGACATGTATACATTTAATTTAGTAATTCAAATTTCAATAACACATTACACAAGTCACAAACACAGTGGTGGCTGGTGCTTGTGCAACATTACACATAATATAGATATTAGATAATGTTTTTAAAACAATGATAAACAATAAATGAAAAAGTATAGTGCAACAAATTAAAACAAAAATATTGATTTACTATATTTTATAATTTTGTCAGCAAATAATTATGTCGAAAACAAATGTTGTTTTTCATCCAATTATCAGTTCTATCCAACGTATTGCCTTATATGAGACAAAAGCAGTAAGTAAAACTCACATTCAACATTTCAGTTGTGAGAGCATCTATAGCAACAGTTTTAATAATCTAAAGTTAATATTTCATTACAGAGATTTTATCTCATAGGTTCTAATAATACCCAGACAAGATTCCGGGTTTTGAAAATAGATAGAACTGATCCAAGAGAATTAGATCTAGTTGACGATAAAGTAGAGTACAACAAGCAGGAAATTCATCAACTGCTAAGCATGATAGGCTTTGGCAATAGAGGCAGTCGCTCTGTTGGATTCAACAAATTAGTGTCAGCATTTGGTATTGTAGGTAAGTCTATTACAAAGCTCATTAAAATAATTCTTAACCAGTTATTAAATAACAATTATATAATATTATTAACAGAGTTTTCATAGCTGACTTAAACTTCTTTCAGGATTCATCAGATTTCTTGAAGGATACTACATAATTTTAGTAACGAAACGGAGAAAGATTGCTGTAATAGGTCCACATTCCATATATAAAATCGAAGACACAGCTATGATTTACATACCTAATGATACAAGTAAACCCCAACATGCAGATGAACAAAGATATGTGAAAATGTTTTTAGCTATTGATTTATCAACAAATTTTTACTACAGTTACAGCTATGATGTTACTCATACATTGCAAATGAATATAGCACCACCAAGAAAATTAGCTCCAGCCTTGTTTCCCGAACCAGTAACAGCTGCTGTATACCAGTCGAATATCAGGTCTAAATCAAACAAAGAATGTAAATGTAATGTCATAGAAGATGATGAAGATATTTTTGAAACTTGGAAAGAACAGTTACAGCAAAGAGAAGCAAAAATAGGGTAAATTATCACATAAACCTAGATTTTCCATATAGTAGATCAACTAAGATTCATTCTTTTATACACACATAACTGTTCTTATTATAATCAAAGTGCACCCATACATACAACCAGCATAGTTTTTAGAAAAGGACCTAGGAATGGCAATGAGTATAGACAAGTAAAGAAAATCCTTAAAAAGTCTAGTACAATTATGTAGTTACATTCTTTAATATAAATTACCTTTTCCTTACATTATTTTTTTAAATTACAGCCAGACATCCTCAAAGCTAGAATTTGGTGTCCGCACTGTACCGGAATGGAGATTTGTGTGGAACAGCCACTTGCTATCTGTGGTTCATTCACAATTACATCCAGATTGGATACTATATATCATTCATGGTTTTATAGAACAGAGTAACTTGAATATTTTTGGTCGGCCAATATATTTAACCCTTATAGCTCGACGGAGTAATAGATATGCAGGCACTAGGTTTTTGAAGAGAGGTGCTAACATGCATGGAGACGTAGCTAATGAAGTAGAAACAGAACAAATTGTCCATGATTCAATGATCTCATCATTCTCAAAAGGCAGGTTGGTTATTCTTTCAAAATAGTAGAATTAAATACCACTAACTTTCTCCACTACTTAGTTTTAGTAAGGAGTTTTTAATCTCTACTAACTACTTTCTAATTGCATACTCAATCCCTTTGTTTTAGATTTAGTTCATTTGTGCAAATGAGAGGTTCAATACCCTGTTTCTGGTCCCAAGATGTCTCCAAAATGGTGCCCAAACCGGCCATATCCATTGACAGGAGTGACCCCTATGCGCAAATACCTGCAAAACATTTCAACAACTTGATGCAAAGATATGGATCACCAATAATGATATTGAATTTAGTGAAGAAACATGAAAAAAGAAAGCATGAATCACTACTCACACAAGTTATAAGTAGTGCTGTGAAATACCTTAATCAATTTTTGCCTCCAGAGCATGCAATTCAATACTTTCATTTAGATATGGCCCGAATCAATAAGGGGGCGGATGCTAAAGTTCTTGATAAGTAAGTATCACATTTTATTTCATTTGCTTTGAACATAACAATTATTGTCATCTATTCTCTCTGATTACCATATACATATTTAACAGAAAATAATATTGGATTATAATGTTTAACAAAGTTATAATTATTTATTGACTAGCCTTGTATTGATCATACTTGCGGTAAAGGGCGTGAAACCTTGGAACAGATTAAACTCACAATAATGCTTTGTTTTATAGAGACATTCGTAATTTTGACAGTATCAGACAGGTTCATTTAAAAAACATTATCTTTAATAGATGTTTTTGCGAATTTAGTATATATGTTTTATATAACTCGACGTTCCGAGTGCAGTACAGCTTACTACAGCAGCAGTAGAGCTTTGCTTTATACATATAGTAGAAGCCTAAACCAAAGGCAATTTTACGAAACAAGTAATTGGTGTTTAATTATTTTAAAATGTATGTCGAGTATGAGTCCTGAGTCCTGCCTCGAGATGATAGCATTGCCTCGATTGAGAATTGTTAAGCCCTGTGACGCCAAGACAACGTATATCGAGTACTAAAGTTTGGTAATTAAGGATTTTCTATATCAAGGCACCAATCTCATTTATCAAGTATATACATTATAAAACTATTACAGACTTTCAGCAATAGCCCGTACAGTAGTTCGGCGGACGGGAATATTCCTAAGCCGTAGTGGATATAGCGAAGAATTGGGGGTCGAGGGTCACCAAGGGGGAAGACTCCAAACGGGACTTGTGCGCGTCAATTGCGTGGATTGTCTTGATAGGACGAACACAGCTCAATTCGCTATTGGAAAGTGCGTTTTGGCTCAACAGGTAAGGTCTAGTAGCAACATGGGTTTGACTAAGGAATAAAGATTCAAATATTTGTGGGTAAGGTATTTCATACCAATATTTGACGCGAATGACTACTGCCTCCGTGGCGAGGTATCCCGGGCTTCGAGTCCTCGTGAATAATATTTTGTTTGTTTAATAAAAATATTATTTAAAGTTCTGCGCAGGCCGCTGAAAATTTACTTGACCACAAAAATATCATTGAAGGGACAGAAATATGTTTAACATTTTATGTACGTGGACGTAGATAAATTTAATAATTTAATATCGAACATTTTAATGAATTTAATAACCTACTTAAGATTTATTTATTTCCACACAGCTTCACGCGCTCGGCCTAATCGCCGAGCCAGTGATAGAGTTCGACTCTGATTGCGCCCGATTACTCGAAGGCTTGTACGAAGACCACGGGGACACATTGGCTTTACAGTATGGTGGATCTCAATTAGTTCATAGGTAATTTTTTTTGTGATTTATAAAGGATCAGTTTTATGTGTTTTTCAAGCCTCGGAGGCAATTTGCGCACTCATAGCATTCTAAAATAAGTACGTTCGAGGTCTATTTTATGCTTAAAGTCCATGAATTTTTTAAATATTGTCTAAAAATGTAATTGTAGGCTAGTGACTTAACCCTTGGGGCATGGGATGAAATGTTATCGATGTTTTATTCGGTAAAAATGAATTCAGATGATAATTTACAACGGCTTCGTATATTTGAATTAGGTTTTATTGAAATTACATTTGAAAACCGAGAGAGTATAGTGAAATCTGTTTGACTCTTTCCTGTAAAAAAATATACGACTTGTTTCTGTTACTAGACGAACTTTAAATAAAAACCCCGGTGGTAACCTTTTACTATGTAATATTTATTTAATTTTTACATCAGATATTCTAAAAACATTAAGTACACTTTGATCCATATATTTCATTTGAATGCTTTGATTTTCAGGATTAAAACATATCGTAAAACTGCGCCGTGGTCATCACACGGGAATGATATAATGCAGACATTGAGCCGGTACTATTCGAACACATTTTCTGATGCTGAGAAACAAAATACGATGAATTTATTCCTCGGTCTTTTCTTGCCGGACCCGAATAGGGCCGCCATATGGGAATATCCTACAGACTATTATCTACATCATCCAGAGACTATGGTCTATATTCCTAATAACAGGTAAGAGATACCCTCGTGTCCCTTTTCTAACACGTCATCAAATTCTAGTCTGTGAAACAATTTTTCTCTATGACAGAGTCTGCGGAAAGAGAACCGTCGTGCGACAGTTAGGTCGCAGTAGTGCTAAAATACCTTTTTTGCAATGTTAATAACACTGTCATTATAGTTCATCAGTAATCATCTTTTTACATAACATGAATAAATTAAAGTATTTAATTTTTGTGACGTGTAACAAATAAAATTATATTAGTTCGCATAACTGGCACGCCGCTCCGCTCTTTTAGCAAAGCACTATAAGTTGATTTATGTGTACAGATACCGGCAAACTTCTTGAGCATTAAACAAGGGAGTGGGGGAAAGTTTGCGTATCTGGGACAAAAATGTCAACTGATTTACCAATCACGCGATCAACACGTCACTCTCCCGCCGCCCCCCTCCCAGTGATACCTGAAAATCTCTTCTGCGCAGGCAAGGCCATTTGTTCAAAATGTTTGCCGGTGTCTATAGTATGACGTTCAATAATACTTTTAGGTCATTAACAAAATGGTGGGACGATGACGTCATCCGTTATTTACCCCGACCTAGTAATGAGATGCGTAAATTATGTTGTGAGATAATTGGAATGCAGGGTGACACTGCATTGGAGATAGTAGACCCCTACCAAGAGTATAATAGACCCTTTGAGTATACCGTCTTTATGGAGTGCTTTGAGTTTAAGGTGAGCAATATTCTCAATTCCATTTGTCAAAATCAAAATATTATTCATGTAGGTAATTCAACGTACACTTATACACAATATACGTCAGTAAGAAAAAAATGTTCTCAATACGAGGGCATAGAACGGACTAGAACTACTAATAAACTCTCCGTCACTCGTTTATACCGCCAAGATTTTTTTTTTACAAAATCTTTGTAATCACCTGCAACCATTACGACATGCTCATAAACAATAACTATAGAAACTAGGCAAATTTATGTATGTGTCAAATGTATGAAATATTAAAAAAATATAAGGACTCAAATAACTTTTATTTCTGTCCGTATATTATCGGTCGGTTAACGCATCAAACAGTGAAACAGATATTTAACATAAATATTTTTGTAGAAAGACAATCTATGCTTTCAACTAGTTTTTTAAACATATAGGGATCTGTATATGTATATACTTTCATGATTGAAACTTAAAAATAATCTTTAAATAATTGGTTTCAGATGTTGCATACTCTACGTGACTTAACGCCATCGTTTACTGATAACATAAGCCCGTTCGTGGTACGGGGGCGCGCGCCTGGTCACGTAGTGAAGGGACCGTCATCGAAAAACCCAGTTATTAGTGGAAGATCCAGTACAGCATCGAATAATTCCAGCGAGTGAGTATTTTTCATCAGTATTAATCGTTTATTTCATTAAACTTACGTAAGTTCGTTTTGTGCCATGTACTCATAATATTTAATAGTATGATTTCTAGTAGTAAGCTTTCACAAACAAATAGTCGAAAATAATACAAATATGGTCATACGGTGTCATCTGGTAGAGACAGAATAACTAAAAAACAGTTTGACATTGACAAATAGAACTACATATTTTCTCCCCATGATGCGAAGGCTTTATTAGAGCTTATTAAAGCTTTCGCATAAGGCATTTAACATTTTAACTGATGCTGAAAACTCTACGATACAGAACTACGAGTATTTTCAAGAGCTGTCAATATTGTTTTTCTGAATGAAGACATATTTGACAGCCTTAAGGTGCGCTTACACGGGCAACTAAAATTGCTCAATTCCAGTCAATACTCGTCAATTATGACGTCACGACTACATCAAGCAATTTACGGCAACGGCAACGAGCATCAATACTGCGCAATACAATATTGAGCGATATGGCGCAACTTCATCAACTAGGCGATACTGTCATACACGAGCATTTCAGTTTTCGCTCGCTATGGACGACATTGTTCTTGCTGCGGCGGCTTGTAGCGCTTTTTTTTATCATTAATCAAAAACAAAAAAGAAAGAAAAGGAATAGGCGTATCTGGGTGCGATCGTTTTTGGCAAAGAGGATAAAATTTTCATTATGTAAAGATGATATATTATTCAAAAACTTTACTAGAATGTCACAAACAGACTTTGAATTACTTTTGAATAAAGTAATTAGAAATTATTATTATTTAGACCTCTCGCTGTCCCCGCGGAAGCAAGACGGCAAGCCGCAAAACAAACAAGTGCGAATGAGACATATACAAAAATTGCTAGGAATTTCCAAGTCCATTGGATATTCGTCAATTCGTATCTACGACATTGAGCGATATGAAATATCTGGAGCAATTAGAAGCAATATCGCCGAAATAATTTATTGCAATTTATTGAATTTATTGAAATTGCTCCATTAATTGCTCCAGATCGGTCCATTCGTGTCGCTGAGCAATTATTGCCCTCGTGTAAGCGCACCTTTAGATATTCGAGCGGGCTACATACCTACTAAAACGTCTCGAGTTCTTCGGTCATTTATTTATTTTTAAACCACTCCTGCCTTAAGAGGCGACTTAAATTGATAAGATTGCACAATAACTGAATAAAATTTACATACGAAACAAAAAAAGCAAACACGAAATTGATTAGGAAAAATGACATACTTAATAAAAAAACAAAAAATTTACTAACTACTATAGGCACTAACAAATCATGTCATGAAATAATATGTATAGGAAAAAACGATCAGTTTTTTTAAACTTTGACGTATTTAAGTCTGTTTTCATACTCACATCATTTTCATACTTCAATGGGCACGTAAAACCAACTCACTTTATGTACCATAAAACATTACCGATTTTTACCTTATTGTTCAGTTCCAACGGAGATTCATCATCAGACGACGACCTAACGAGTTCAACAATGAGCGCCAGGATTCCACCATCTTCAGTTCCGCCCGTCAAGTTTGAAGAATTATATGAGCCACACTTCACCTTTGTTAAGAAAAGCACCAAACCATTTGTAAATGAGCCAACCAAGCGAGATATGTTGATGTAAGTATTAATCGTCCTGCATTTCGTCTTTCGATTTACAATGTGAGAATATTGAATACTTTTTTGACCTAGCCACCCTATCCCCTCTCAGTAAGTCCTCGATCTTGGCTAAAAATACTGGCCAATCAAAAATTGAAACACAGCTGTACCTACTTATCTATAACAGCTTTTCTTTTTTTATCATTTGTTCAGACTTACTCTAGGGAAAGCCTTTAGTCTATTCAAATCCTAAATCAGCGCTTAGTCTAGTTATATGTGACTATCGGACGTAAGGAATTGGTTTTATGTATCTAATTTTACAATTATTTGTGTAACATTTATTTTAAATTATAAAAGCGTGTCGATGCTACGGCTAGAATTTTATAAGCTCCTTTCTATGCAATGTTAAGTTCCCACGTTCGAAGTAAAACAATACTGCACAAGTACAGAAAGCACGACGAGGTTGCTAATCGCACGCATTCAAGCATCCATATCATCTTTAGAACGGTTTTAATTTTGATCAACTGTATATTTTTTTTATTATATGAATATAAAATTATTCCTTTGATTAGAAATAATTAAACACAATATTTTTGATGTCCTTATATCTACTTCTAGGTACAAGCGTTACGTAAACTTCGAGAAGCGATCAAATCCGCGTTTTAAGCCCGACATTCCTATCGTCTTAACCTGTAGCAGCGCATTTACAATCGACAGTTCTGTTGACATGATCCCGCCAACTATTACTAAAACTTCTAAAGAAATTTACCAGGAATATGTAAACCGCGGCACTGGAAAACTCTCCGTACCTCATGAATCTATACAGATGTACAAAAATTATGTAAATTTTAGTCTATGAAAATTGTTATATCGTAGTTCTTATGTAAAAAACATATTGATTTTACTATTGTTTTATTTGATAAACCCCGTTTTAATTTGACGTTATCTAATTTATTTTAGATATTTATAATAAGCACATTAACGATTTGGGTCTTGTTATCTCAGCATATACTTTGAGGCATTAACAATCATGTACTTCAATTGAAATAAAATTTCTATAACAAAAATAAGAAAATGGAATAAGCTTCATATCCCGCCATTATTCAATTGATGACCACTGTAAATTAACTGTAACATTAATTAATCTTTTAAGCTCAGTCTACATTACTCATATCTATTTTCTATACTGTACTTTTGTATGGTCTTTGAAAATGAAATGTCAGTATGACATTATGTATTATTAGACATTGATTAGATTTTTTTTTGGTCAAAAATAAGAACGGTGGAAGTGAAAAAATAAGCATCGATATTTTTTAAAATACCAATACCCATGTCTATATCTCAACGGAAGATATTGATATATTGGACAAATTAAAAATTATACAAATCATAATGTATTTAGTTCAGTCTACAGCAAAAACATATCATTTATGATAAAATTTTCGATGTATAATGTTATCTCTAAATTGAACCAAAATATACCGAATTAAAACATTGATATATCGATAACTTTCGACAGGCCTATCAAAAAAAAAATTGTTGAGTACATTTGTCGACCAGTGAATCCAGTGACCAGTGATTTTTTTGCCAAGTTGATTGAAAATCAATCAAGGGGGCGGATGGCTTTTTATCCATGAAGATAGAAACATAGTTTTATACATTATGGCTATGTCAAAAGGTTTTAAAGTGCTGGAGAAATCGGCACCACCGAATCCTTACAGTATTATTTTACAACATAGAAATAAAGATACAGCCTTATTATTTGAGTCTCAGGCTGTTGTTTCTTTATCGTCACAGGAAACTGATACTCTTCGTAAACAATATCATAAAATAGCTGATGCATATGGATGTCTAGGAGTGCTGCAATTAAATTCTGGAGAGACATGTATGCTCTACCTTGTTCTTGTGACAGGCTGTAGTTCTGTCGGTAAAGTGGGTGATACAGAGGTTTTTAAGATAACCCAATCTCAATTTCTGCCTTTATTTCACCAAACACAAGGAGATGATAAGGTGGGAGAAGTTAGAAAACTCTTAAACTCTGGAACATTTTATTTCTCTTGGAATTCAGGAAAAAACATTGACAATCTCTTTGACCTGACTGTGTGTGCTCAGAGAAAGGGTAAAGGAGCAAGTTCTGATAACAGATTCTTTTGGAATAGAACCTTATTTATTCATTTAATCAGGTACGGCATAGATTGTGATGACTGGCTTACCCGTGCAATGTGTGGTTCAGTGGAAATACGTACTATTTACGTTGGTCATCGCTTAGCCAGGGCTGTACTGATATCTCGACTAAGCTGTGAAAGAGCAGGGACAAGGTTTAATGTAAGAGGTTGCAATGATGATGGTAATGTTGCTAATTTTGTAGAAACAGAACAAGCTATTTATGTAGATGACTCAGTTTCATCTTACATTCAAACAAGAGGATCTGTTCCTTTATTCTGGGAACAGCCAGGTATTCAAGTTGGATCACATAAAGTTAAAATGTCACGTGGATATGATGCTTCTACAAGTGCTTGTGAAAGGCATTTTTCTCAACTTAAACGAAATTATGGATCTATTTATGTTGTCAACTTACTAGGTTCTAGTATGATAGGTGGCACAGAAGGTGAAGCAACTCTCAGCAATGCATTTCAACGGCACCTTAATGAATCTGCACATTGTGATATTGTACAGATAATATTTGACTACCATCAAGAGGTAAGAGCATCATCAATAGATTCAGCTTTAAATAAATTTAAAAAAATTGTGGAAATGCACTATGATAACATCAGCATATTTAGTGCCAGGAATGTTGATATTTACAATGTTCAAAAAGGTGTAATAAGAACTAATTGTCTAGATTGCTTGGACAGAACAAATTCTATCCAGACATTCATTGGTCTAGAAATGCTTGCAATACAACTGATGTTGTTACAATGTATTGATAAAAAGCAAAATGTTAACAGATTTGAAGAAGTGTTTAAACAAATGTGGATTAATAATGGAAATGAGATATCAAAAATCTATGCAGGAACGGGAGCTATTCAAGGAGGGTCAAAATTGATTGATGGGGCAAGATCAGCTGCTCGAACTATTCAAAACAATTTGCTTGATAATTCAAAACAAGAAGCAATTGATATTTTGTTGCTAGGTTCTACATTAAATTCAGAACTGTCTGATCGTACCCGAATTTTATTACCATCAAATATTTTGCATACATCTACTCCAGTACTACGAGAAATGTGTCGTAGAGCAAATGAGTTTACCCAGCCTACAAATATTCGTATCACTATAGGTACATATAATGTCAATGGTGGTAAACATTTTAGAAGCCTAGCTTACAAAGATGTTTCCCTGGCTGATTGGTTGTTAGACAGCCCAAATTCATCTTTGGTAAATACTGTCAATTTGAAAGATCATCCTTCTGATATCTTTGCAATAGGATTTGAAGAAATAGTTGACTTAAATGCTAGCAATATAATGGCTGCTAGTTCAGACAATGCTAAAGCATGGAGTGAAGAATTGGAAAAAGTATTGTGTAGAGATGCATCATACACCTTGCTTTCTAGTCATCAGTTGGTAGGCGTCTGCCTATTTATTTTTGTCAGGAAAGATTTAGTTCCTCATATCAGAGATGTTGCATTAGATTCAGTGAAAACTGGATTAGGTGGAGCTACTGGGAATAAAGGTGCAGTAGCTATCCGTCTAGTTATATATGGGACATCAATTTGCTTTGTTTGTGCTCATTTTGCAGCTGGTCAATCCCAAGTGAGTGAACGCAATGCAGATTACACAGAAATTACAAGAAAAGTAGCATTCCCAATGGGACGATCATTGTATTCACATGACTTTGTTTTTTGGTGTGGTGATTTTAACTACCGAATTGATCTAGATAAAGAAGAAACACGATTACTAGCCTCACAAAATAATATCCAAAGGTTATTAGAACAAGATCAACTTGTACGCCAGAAATCACAAGGATTGGTTTTTAAAAACTGTTTTGAAGGTGACATCACATTCCTTCCAACTTATAAATATGATTTGTTTAGTGATGACTTTGACACCAGTGAAAAATGTCGAGCACCTGCCTGGACTGATCGAGTTTTGTGGAGGAGTAAAAAATACACTGTTGATCCAGAAACAACATCTGAAGCAGCTGCAGGAAAATTACTACATTATGGCAGAGCTGAACTAAAACAAAGTGACCATAGACCTGTCATTGCTATTTTAGAAATAGAAGTTTTACAGGTTAGTAACACTAAGTGTATGGAAGTTTTTTATGAGGTTGTCAAAGATCTGGGTCCTCCTGATGCTTGTATCATTGTTCAACCAGTTGATGAAATTGAAGATTCTGAAGATTCTGTTTTTGATGATAATTTAATGTCAATAATATTGCAAGAATTAGCAACTTATGGTGAAGTGACATTAGTTCGTTTTGTAGATGAGCACACTTTGAGCATTACATTTAGAGATGGCCAGAATGCTCTAGCGGCTGCTCAGAAAGGAACTATTTCCTCTTCAACAATTCCTTTACATGTATCACTCAAATCTCCAAATTGGGTAGATATAGTAAAGTCTGAAGTGAGTCTCTGTACTAATAACACAATACCGTTATTTGGTGACATACCAGCTGAGCGACCACTTAGGTCTGCGCCACCGACACCACGACGTCAACAGCCAAGCCGGCCTCCTGCTCCATCGCCTACTCCGTTGGTGCCTTCTCGAGCGCCAGCACCAAGTCCAGCAAGACCACCCCGCCCAGCCCCTATTACGCCTGAATCAGTTGTGTCTCAGGCGTCTGTAAGCTCTCCACCAGCAGAGATGATGCCGCCTCCATCATGTGCGCCGCCACCTCCACCACCGAGCAACACCCCTCCGCTTCCAGGCCCCCCACCGCCTGTGCCCGCGAGACAGGGAGCTCCTCCACCTCTCCCGGCTCGTCCACGACCAGTTACATAGAAATCATTATGGTAAGGCATCTCACCCTCATCAAATTTGCTTGTTTTTTACATTATGTTGCCCTCAGAGAAAATTGGCTGTGATTATTTCAATGCATTTAAATATTATTACTAAACAACAACGAAAACATTTTAGTGTTGCTTTTTTTATTTCTTAGTAAAATTAGGATGCTATATCTAATTACTATTAATAGCTATATTTACTCACAGCTACTAAAAGTTGTTTAAAAATGAACCAAATAGCAGTATTGATGTTAAAAACAATCATTAATTTTTTTGTCTGAGTAATATTTATTAGTAGGTCAATATTAATTATGTCAATGCCTATAGTTGAGTGTATGAAATAATAAATTGTTAGTATTTATTAATAGATAATTAGTATAGATATTTGTGTTATATAGATGCCTCTGCACCATTGTTTCGTAATAAAATAATGAAAAAAATAAATAATGGTACCTATAGTTGAGAAATTTTCCTGATTATTTTGAATATTGTAGATATGCTGTTAAATCTGTTATTTGATCTCTTTTTTATATTTGTTTTATACATAGGTATACCTTTATCATTTTTATTGAATTCAATATCTATGGCTCTCCAATTCATAAAATTGTACTTAACTATTACAGTACCTAGTAGTCCGGTCAATCTAGACATTCAAAGGTGCATAAAATCCCAACAAGCTGAAAAAAAGTATTAATACATTTTTTATAGATAATTTTACTATCTACAATTTTTGCCTGCCTTTTTGTTTAAATCGCGAAAAACTCATTTTTTTACCTTTGACCTTGACTAAAAAAAATTCCATACACGGGTATGATGGGGAACTTCAATATTTTATTTATAATTATGTTTTGGACAGTTTTACTGATTTTCAGCTTGTTGGGATTTTATGTACCTTCACTCTCATTTTTTGGTCTAGATTGACCGGACTACAGCTACTATCTTCAACATTAAGTAATATTTGATCATAATTAATTTTATTTTTAAATAATATATTTGTGATAATTTACATGATGAACAAATAATTTTATTTTAACCTTTTTTTCTAATTAGTTTTTTTTTTTTTTTAAATAAATAAGTCTTGAGATTAGTGTGTTAAGTTTAATGTATAAAAATATATATATTCAAGTATTTGAAATGTTAAAATATTTCCTTCATCTAAATTATTATTTAATGATGCTGCCTAGTACATCATTCAGATTATAAATCGTTAATTATCTTTAAAAAATATGGGAAGCTATTTATGGATATTGGTAAATCATATTTATATTTTTGTAAGGCAAGCATAGTCTCTTTCGTAAAGAAGGTCTTAAAGAGTCATGCTATTCTTTTATTAACCTTACTCTTTATATAAAATATAAATCATTTGTTCGTGTGATTAAACTCCTTCTTAAAGGCTGGACCGATTGTAACGATAACTTTCACTATTAAAATATATGAAACTACAAGCGGACCCGACGATCGTTGTCCTGTACACACGTCTTAAATGACATAAAAAATCATCTAATTGTAAATCTAAACCTTTTTTCCACATATACTACTACTCTGATATATGTTTGGACCTTCTCTAATAAAAGGCTATATTAAAAATTTGGAAAACGCTTGAATTGCGTAAATAAGGCCAGTATCAAAGTGCACTCGCAAATTGTTTAAAAAGTGTAGATGTATCTAATGCTAATTATTATTATGCATACTGTAATAAAATAGATGTTAATTGATGTGTAATCTGTAGGTGGTTTTTAAGCGCTCGCTGGAGTTTACTCTTCTAACGCGTTGATATCTTTTAATAACTAATTGTGCCCAAAATTCAAATCCGTACACTGTTTGCGTACTTTGTAATACATACAAATTATGAAATACAATAGATTAATTTCAGGCTACTACTTGGCGTACTATTTCAATTATTTCGTTATTTTTAAGAAGCGTTTTATTAATTTGATATACTTACGTATAAACTAATTTAATTTGTTTTTGCATTATTATTCGGACACGATTAGATAAAAAAGGATATTAGCATTATATGTTTAGTATTAAACTAAACGCAATTTGGAGTTTTCCAAGTTTGTATGACATCTAGAACAGCATAAGACTTCGATTTCACCTATGTAGCCAATAATATTATAAGCAATCAAATTACAAAATATACATATGTTACAGTCAGTGTGTTTAATAAATTGATTCTTATTGGAACAAATATTTTTATTTAACCTTTCGGTTCAATTTACAAGTATTTTAATTTCACACTTCACAGGGCAGGGATTCCTCGATTACCCTTGTATATCACGCGTAGTCTCGTTTCTGAATATCACTCTAAGACCAATAAAGCGAGGTTCAGTCGAAAGTGTAAGATTCGTCAAGAACGTAAACATTTACCGTTTTTTTACTTATGATCCAGTATTGTTCTTACTAGACTATAGGCCTGACTCAAAAAACCGACAGAGAGTGTTCCAGTTGTAATATAGGTTAGAAAAAAATTAATCAGTGACGCTACAACGTTTTTAGGTCTAGGCTTCAGATTTCTATATCTGTTTCATGATCATTTTTTAATCTAATAGGCAAGCAGGTGATCAGTCTCCTGTGCCTGACACACGCCGTCGACTTTTTGGGTCTAAGGTAAGCCGGTTTCCTCACGATGTTTTCCTTCACCGTTCGGGCGAATGTAAAATACGCACATAGAAAGAAAGTCCATTGGTGTACAGCCGGGGATCGAACCTACGACCTCAAGGATGAGAGTCGCACGCTGGAGCCACTAGGCTAACACTTTACACTACTCATATAGGTTATAACATTTGATTATTAACAACTTGGGTATTGTCCTAAAATTGTAATTGACATAAATATGTCCTTTTAATGCCTTTATCTAGATATATTCATTACTTGATCTCACACTACCTACTGAATTTTATTTATAGTAGTAGTAGTTGTTGCATCATCAGTTGGATCACTGACAATCCTATTTTTATTTTGACAAATTCATGGTAGCACTGCTTACTGCTGCGAAAATGGATTTTAAAAAAAATTGCATGTCAAACAGCTCAACAAGGTTCCATTAACATCATCATCATTAACAAGGTTCCGCGTTTAGCTTGGTCATGGCTTAGGTGACAAGCAGCGTGTCCCTTTTTAGAATTACGAGTCCCGGTGACCCTGAAATGAACTGTGGGACGCAAAATTGTCCCGTTTTCAGAAACCGCGCGAAATTTGAGCAGACGTTCAATGTTAGCTTACAAGCAAAATATTCGTTTATCAAGCAACTAATTAGTCCATCAGATGTGAAGTGTAGAATTTTGTGTTTTTTTAATTTTTATGTGGTGGTATATTTTCATAGTGGTGGCGGTGAACAGCATTTAGTCTGACTAACATAAACAAGCCGTTCGCGACCCGCCCCTTCGATGTTAAACTTTTTGAGTATTGAAAATCCTTCCTCCTTACCCTCAGATTCAGAGTCGAGATTTGACTGCGCCAATAATATATTGAAATACGGAAGTATTGCTCCAAGTCTCGTATCTGAATCTTACCCTCATATGATATATATCACTTGCATAGATAAGTTGTCTCATGTCATTACTGACATTAGATTAAAGGGAGTGGTCATTTCCTTAATTTACTTGTTACATTTATTGCTTCACCAATGAAATAACCATAAAAATTAAATTAAAATCAATTTGTTTAAATTATTTTATTGGATACTGATCCACATCACATAAATTATATAGATTAAACTACTTTCATTGTGTATTTAAATTATTCACTTTTTGGGTACAGCATGGATGTAGATAGTGTGACCAATGCCAACAAGACCAGCGGCACAGAGTAGTAATGTGAGTCTGTAGATAATTCCATCCATTGGACCACCCTTTAAGAAAACTGGGATGTCATCCTCTTTCTGTAATTAAAATTTTAGCACATTATACTTTAAACAGAAAATCTAAAATATTATATTCTAGGTAAGGGTGGCTCCAGGGCACCATAACAGGGGTTTCCTTTTAATTAATGTTTATTTTATTACTGTTTAGTTTTTTTCATTGACTTTTTTTTGTAATCATGCTTTTATATAAATAGCATAATTACAAGAAAAGTCAATGACAATTATTGAGATCTTACAGTATGGCTTAAGGCAAAGTTCTACGACTTTGATTGTATAAACCCCACTGCCACTGCTTGTTCTGCTATTGCTATATAGAGGCCTAAAGCCATACTAATAAAAAAGGATAAGCCAGTAAAAAATATAAAAAAAGTAAAAACCGTAAAAAAATGCTAACACAGTAATAACATTAACTTTTTCTGATAGCTGATAGATAGAATGGTAAATTAATTTGTTGTACTAATATTATAAATCTAAAGAGTTGGTTTATAGAATAATTATATTTCTTGTGAATAGCTTGTTATGAATATAACTATGTGACAATTTTAAGATAATCAATATAATGTCAAAAGTCTGAGATTTAGTACTAGCTATATCTCAAGAATATCAAAATCCAATATTTATTTATTATACGGGTCATACTTGGTGCTTATTATTGACCTGGAGTCTTATGTAAACAGAGCAAATAAATGTTAATGCTTAAGATTTTATTAGTAATATAATGGATTTTAAATGTACAGCCAAACTATTATAGATGGGCTTTAAAAAAGGATTTATAATAATGTTAGTTGTCAACCAAATTCTATGTAAGTACTATAAGTGCAGATAAATGTTTTACTTGGAATAGTTTATTTTGGGTTAATGACCATTCCTAGAATTCGTAATTAATGTAACTCTTGTTACGTGATTCTGCCATTTATTATATTACCTGGAAACGTTCTTGACGTTCACGGATTTTAGGAGACAATGGTGAGTAGGGCACGTTGGTACCAGGTACGAGACGTCTTGGCTCAGTGGAGCAAGACTCAGACACAGTCGACATATGGGCGGTATTGTATTGGATAGCCGGTGGGTCCACCCTTTGTAAAGCAATAGGAACCTTTAAACAAAATAGGAATTCACATTAGCAACTTTGGTTTTCCTGGTTATGTAGCAAATTAAAATAAAATATAATTACCACTGGGAAAAGTGGACTCTGCAAGTTGGTGGCAGCAATAAGCCGACCGGACACTTTGTTAAGTTGATGATACATGTTTTTAGCACCACAAATTAACTTTGAATTCTACAATTTTCAAGTAGACCTGTTACGAAACAAGTAGGCACTTTATCGAATATGGATAACGTTCAGAAATATTTCTATAATCTGTATGTAAAAAATAATACTGAATTTTTCGATTAGGATTCCTACTTTACACATATATTTTTATATTTTAATATCGTTTCATTTGAATATCTATTGTGATATTAAATTAGTATTTGTAATTTAAAAACTAAAAGAACAGTTTATGTTTTTGAACGAAAGCTCAGCACTTGAGCAGAATGGGAAGTGGTAACATTGGTTTTGTGATACCAACTTAGCCATTACAAGACTACCTTTTATCGATACATTGGCCAAGTATCGGTTTATAATTGCATTTTATTACCACTAGAATCAAATATTTTAAAACAGCATCTTTGTGAATATCTCAATACTTTATTTTTTATGACAGCAGCAAATAAATATGAATATAAAGGTATAGTATCACCCAAAGTTTATGCTATAAAAAAGCATATGCAATGGAAATCAAATATTAAAAACTGGTCACCCAACCGCCATGCTCAAAGTTTCTTTTATGCCAGTTTGACAGTTCAACGAGCACATTTTGAGAAGGTTAGTTACAAAATAAATGTAATTTATTTTAATTCTGTGATGAAATATTAAAAACAATATAATTTTTTTGTAATAGATATAGTCATTAGCTAGATTCTAAATGTTTAAAAGTATTTAAGGCGCGTTCGAAATTCAAAACTGTGCGTGGCGTGTCACCGTCAAAGTTTTCATTTGTTTTTTGTTTCAAATAATTAGTATTCATCATTGCGGGATAAAATTTTGCGTGAATTTCTATTTCTCCTATTTTTACAGCTGAAACATGCAGATCTTTGTGAAAACCCTCACGGGTAAGACCATCACCCTAGAGGTGGAGGCCTCCGACACTATCGAAAATGTGAAGGCCAAAATCCAGGATAAGGAGGGAATCCCACCTGACCAACAGCGTTTGATTTTCGCTGGTAAACAGCTCGAAGATGGTCGTACCCTTTCCGACTATAACATCCAGAAGGAATCTACACTGCACTTGGTGTTGAGACTACGTGGAGGTTAGTTTTGACTTTTAAAATCATCTTCAACGCTTATTCTACAGTATCAAATTCCTCCTTAATATTTACTTCTGTGAATAACATGTGAATTTCTTGTTTTATTTTAGGTACCATTGAGCCATCTCTCAGGATTTTGGCTATGAAGTACAATTGCGACAAAATGATTTGCCGCAAGTGTTACGCTAGACTCCACCCTCGTGCCACTAACTGCCGTAAGAAGAAGTGTGGTCACACTAACAACCTCCGCCCAAAGAAGAAGATCAAGGATTAATTTATTTTTCCTCTTATTACAAGTCTGGCTTACTCTGTAAATTAAATAATTAAAAATGTCAATATAGTTGTTTAATTTAAACATCAAGTTACTTTAAGCTGTTCAATATCTTCCCAAAAATGTGTATGAATAGTCTCTTCTATCTAATCACTGCAATAAAACCTAGGGCTCTTAGGTTACTCACTCAATAAATTTGGCTTACTTAACTATTATAACTTTAAAATTGGATTTGGTAAATAGATAAATACTTTTCTACGTTGGGACACAAGAAATTCAAAGAGTGGTAATGATAGAATGTGGTTTAAATGTAATATAGTATAATGTTAATCTTAAAGGGTCATAATTCTGCTTGTACTGTTAATATTTTCATTCATAAATAAGGTAAGGTGTCTTGTGCCTACATATACAATGGTTGACAATCAAACTCTAAATTTGGACAGCTCCATAGATGGTTGCATGAGATAAATTAGGACTTTAGCTTAGGATTATTATTGATGTGTCCCTTTTTTTGGTTTTCTTCAGAACAAGTAGGTCAAATTGAAATCAAGACTTCTTATAATTTATTATTAGGAAAATGTATTCATTACAAAGTTTTTACATATATGAGAATAAGAACAACAGAAAATTAATGTATTTGTTTTATTAAAAAAATAAAGTTCCATTTTATTTGGAAGCACTGATAAAGCCTTATAAACTATTACAAAATTATCAAAAATTGTAAACTATACAATGTATATAAATCATATTTAATAAAACTTAATTTATATAATATCTAATGAATAAGTCTTCTATCGTTTTTAGATAAAACGCTGTTGATTGAAATATCTAGTACCTTGTATCACAACCATGGAAATGTATTTTCAATATTACGCTTATATAAATAACTACAATAAGTTACGGACGGAAATATGTTATCAGTGCTAAGTCGCCTTTAGCGACCTTATACCATACCAAAGTTATACACCTTGATTTTTGGTGGATTGGGCGGTTTTCCTCCATCTGCAAAAATATATGTAAATAAAACTACAAAGTTTACTTGCATGTGACTTAAAATGTGCAAAATTATATTGGTACATATAAAAACTGAAATACGTGCATTTTGACGTAGTAATCGACTGGCGACTAGTAGGTGATCATAGAAAACGTCATTGGCAACAAATTACCAAAACCGAAATACAAGGTGTACATGCAAAATCAGTGTCGTTTACCCTAGGAATCATATTTTTATAAAATTTAATGTAAAGACATATTAAATATTTAAAAAAAATATAATCTATTATTGAAAATCTTTTACTTAACCTAAGGGTTAATAAGGAAATTCGGAGACAAGTTTAAGCGCAAATTATGACAACTCTCAAATGGTGAATTCTAAGACATTTAGTTTGCGCTTAGACAAACCTCAGAATCGGATCTTGCAATTTCTGTGTCAGCGCTTGTAGACATAGTCCTAAAACCGATTTTAGTGTCACTATTTTGAATTGAGCTAACTCATTTTCCATTAACGTCCCATCATTGCTATATAATTCCGTGCATACATAAAACGTGCAACCATACTCACAAACAAATTAGTATCATGCATCATGCAATTAACATTCACACTTCGACGTAATCGAGTGTAGTACCGATCGGCGATCTGCGTTCGTTCGCGAACGATGTGTTCGGCGCGAATGCAGCGAGGTATTTATTTGGAGGACACAATGGTAGACTATCTGCGAGTTCCCGCGCTACTTCCGATTGAGGTTGTTCCTAAAATGTTTTAACGAATTTTAGCCAATTTAATCTTTTAGAGTATGTGAGGAAAGAGAACCTTCGTGGAATTCGAGGTCGAGCAAAGCAAAATAATAAATTGGAAAAAAATAAAAGTAAATAATTTTGTGTGAACCAATGAAATGACGCAAAGCAAATAAGTACTACAATCTACATTGTTCAGACTGCAGATACTATTTCACTTAACTGCCAACTTTCAACAACTACTTACTAACAACAACTTTTGGGTCTGTTTCAGCACAGATTCTATCAGATCTTAATATTTTTTATTAATCTATATACTATACCATGGATAAGATTCCTTCTGTCGAAATAATAGAGTACAAATTTAATTTTTTCAAGATCTTAATATTTAATGGCCACTTTTAAATTAAGAACTATAAAAACGGATGCTTGGAGCACCGTTGCTACGTTTGGTATTTTTCTAATAAGGTTTCTATGGCCTTTTTTAAAAGCAGAGATCCGTGGAACTATTGAATAGGATTTAATAAATTTGGTTAAATTTGGGTTTTGTTTTAAATACTCAGCTCTTATTAATTTTATCAACTTAATAAACTGATAACTTCATTTAATTTAATTATTTGGGGATTAGTAACATAAAGGACTAACCGGCATAACAGCTATGGTAACTGTATCCGAGAATTTAACTTTATTCCTCTCCAGAGGTCGACTTGGATAAGTGGGTTTATCCGGTCTATATCTCTCATTAAAGTTCGCATTCCCGTGATATCTATATGCATTTGCATGACTAAAATGTGTCCTTTGAACCATATCAGTCGGTTTAATAATCCCTTCGCTTATTTTATTCAGAACGTTATCTACACTGTTCCATCGTATGTTTGGTTTACGATTTGATATGAATGTGTCATCTTTGACGTTTGTCGTCCATATAGTGTTGTCTCTTTCTAGGTATTGGTGTAAATTGGGACGTATACTGTTGGTTGAAGGTGGTTCGTTTGGTGCGATAGGGATGGGTATAGTTGGGAGGGACACGCGAGGTAATGGTGGAGGGTTTTTTCTTACTCCGGGAGAACTTTCTTCTGAATCCGAGCATGAGTGAGAGCATTGAGAGCATGAATCTGAACATTCGGAATCTAAAAAAAATATTTATAACATAACTTTTTAAAGTAAAAAAAATTGGAAGAATTGTTAGGTTGGCCAAATATAGCCATTGTACAGAAAAATTAAATAAGAAATAAAATGATATTAAAAAATAATTAACTGCAGTTTTTTAAGGTTGTAAGAATGTATGATTCCTTTGGTAATTTAAATTGATGAAAATAGTAGCACATTTAAATTAGCTATAACTTATCGCAATTATCTAATTTTTAAATTATCAATGAAAACAACCAAAATTAGATCGAAACTTTTAAAAACATACAATTTAATTAAAAATCTACTTTATTTGAAATCAATTTGAATACCTGTATGAGTGAGCGGGGCGTAGTGTGTGACACAAGCAGCTGCCTCTTGTGCTAAATGATGCTGTCTCACTCGCGTAGCAGCCCACTGCGCATCCGCGAACAGATCCCACGCTTCCAACTCTACGCCTAAACTCATCGCTTTTTCGATACGGCCACGCCTATTTAATATTTATATATATATAAGTGTATACAATATTTATCTTAAAAGCAGCATGACTTTGACCCAAAAAGTCGACGGCGACAGGCACAGACGGCAGATTAGATATATATATTAAACTATTGAACTTTATTGAACTGTTAAAGGAAAAATTTACATATGTACCTCAATAAGTGATGAAAGAATTTCCTAGCCAAATCGTGTACAGGAGGTGCATATCGACTAGCCGAGGCTGGCAAAGGCGAGGCTGGTGCCAAATACACACCCAGAGCACCCTGTATAGCGTTTTCAACATTAAGGTCAAAGGTATTTCTTCTAAGACAATTGACCACAATTTCACTGATACCATTTAAACATTCGTCGCCTTCTTTTTCCCAGTCAAACGTTCTAAGTAGTTCTATTGCATTAGACGGACGGCCCATACGAAGCCATGCCTGGAAATAAATAAATTATTCGTAAAGGATTTTTAACGAAGCGAGCTTAAAGCAAGTATAGTTAAACATACATAATAGTAGTTTATGGAACTGTCATATATATATTAATTATATGCAGTTGCATACACTACTTTATTTGATCTCATGGCTATAGGTAGCTACATTAAATAAAATGCAATATAAAAGAAACAAAAGTCTGCTATTGGTCAATTGGTTCGGAACCAGCGCGTTGCGCTCACCACACATAATGTGTACTTAAATTGAAACCTCCTTGGTCGGGACACATTGTACTTTAATCATTAAAAAATTGTTTTATAGCATTGATTGTTAGGAGAATAATGCTTTAATTTAATTTTCTTAAAGAAGTATGTAAATAAAATATTCCAATAAAAGTCTGTATTTCATTTCATAATTAGAAATGAACCCAATGAGATTATATAAAATATTTTTTGAAATGTGTTTCTGTCATTAAAGTACAGAGAAATTAGTAAAAATATCATATGTACCAAGGTATAATGTTAGGACTAGAAACTAATGGGGTATTTACACGGGTTGATTTTCGCCGTGCGGCGAGTCGCTTCACATATTGCCGCACCAAGCCGCATTGCTAGCCCATTTACACAGGTTACTAAAATCGCATGCGGCTCGGTCATTTCCATCGAAAATGTTGAGCAGAATAGCCGTTTGTGCCGGAATTGAAATAATTAATTATTCAACAATTGCTTAAAGAACAAAGAGAGAAGAAAAAACAAAAGGAAAGAAGAAAACGTAATGTTTGGGTACGAGGATGGATTTCTTGACGTAAGGTCTTGGGTGCTTCGGATACTTTATTGGTTGAGTGGAGTTTAGAAGATCCTGATTAAATAAATACACGTGCTGTAGTAAATAAAAATACGTGCGTGCGCGAAACACCTTCATGCGGCGTGCGATCGCCTGCAACTGATCGTTTACACGGTCGATTTTAGTCACCAGTCGCATGCGGCCGGTCGCCGCGCGGCCAAAGTCGGATGCTACCCAACTTTGGGGCTTGCGGCTTTAGTCACTTGCGACTTAGCCGAATTGCCATTTAGATGGTCGATTTACGCCGCGCGGCAAAAATCGTGCGGCTTTAGTCACCCGTGTAAACCCCCTATAAGGGCGAGATATAGGGCTAAGTCTGCGTCTCCCTTACGTCAAAAATGTACTGGATTTTGGCAGATGGGAGTCACAGTTCGCGCTAAGTCTCGTTTCTGAATATCACTCTAATAGTTATACTAAATCGTATATAAAGTTAATTAAAATATACTTAAAATTTGTGTATAGAAATAGAAAATAATAGTTAATTACAAGAATGGTAGAAAATAATGTTTAGTATGACTTATACCGGCTTTATAATCGACTGATAATAACTGTTTTTCTCTAATAAGAGAGAATCGACATACTTTAATCACAGAGAAAATAACAATCTAATACATTGGGATTTCAGGTCGCGGCACTACTGAATTACCTTTATTGTTATGGTGACAACAGTTAATTAAAAACATATATTAATATTAATAAAAGTATTAATTTTTGTGGATAAATGAGATGACACATTTCTTGCGCCGGTTCTCTGTCCGGACAGTACGCTCATAGGCACTTACCGATAACAATCGTGGATGACATATGCGAAGCAGGGCAAGTGGACCACCAGAAAATGTAGTCAATATGACAGGTCCACTTCTAAATTTACGCGAACCAAGAATTTGAATCCGTCGCGTATCCCTGTAATATTACGAACATTTATTCGATATATATCGATTATTGCACATAAATAACGGCAAAGTACATCTAAGAATTAGTTAAATAATTTGGGCGTGAGTACTAAACTTAAGCACAAGCAAACAAAAATTTATGAGTGTTGAATCGAACTGTTTGCGACAAAATGAATGTATTAACAAGTAACAATTACAAAAATAAAATTTAGCTCGCTAAGCGCCAGAAGGGAGGATAGATTCAAAATGGAGACTTGGCTAAGTAAGATTTCGTCATATGGGAGTCAATAAATACTTCGTATCTCAAGTCACAGTCTCATCTTGAGCGCTGTCATACATGTCAAACTTCTTACAGAGAAAATCGTTTCTACTGAAACTAGATTTATAAACGATTGGCGTTGCGATACGGACCTCAATTTTAAAAGTATAATTATATAGTATAAGTAGTACAATAACATACTGTATTTAATTAATATTGTTTGCACAAACGCGAGGAATCATTGATTTACGAATTTACAATTGTGAAAATAATTGTCACGATCAAAAGTTTTTAAACATTGAAATAATACTAAATAAAAGCGACGGTTCTTTGCGCCTAAATATCTTTATAATCTATGAATTTTAGCTTATGTAATGTTTTTCTAACAAAGTTTTTAACCACAACATTGTCTGTATTTAACTTTATATTTTTCATAAATTTCCGAGCTCCGAGGATAGTTTATTTTTCTCCTCATAGTGATTGGAGCCGTAGATTGAAGTTGTCGCTACACATTTATGAATTAAAATATTTACCGGAAATAAGAGGTCAGATCGAGGCATTTAGTATGATGATGTAAAGCTGTTAAAGCTCTATCAAAACACTGCAATCGGCCATTTTCTTCACTCGCTATCACTAATTCGCCAGACCATCGTACATCTGTTGCTATCTGAAATTTTTTTTTTAAATTTATTTATTCAGAAATTTACTGCACAATACAGAAATAGATGTGTATATATATATATATATATATATATATATATAACATTGTGGGCCAATTAAAAATCTTCACATATAGTTATTTTATAAAATAAGAAGGTAAACATGCCAAATATTTTGGTTGTAAAAGAAAAAACAGAATTTAATTAGTTGACAATTAAAGGTTATAAATGTACTTCATCATCATGATCGAAATAATTTTGTGTCAAAGCTTCCCTTGCTGTCACCAAACTCGTGGCGAACATATCAAATTATGTGAAAAAAGTATTAATAATGTGGTTATAAAACATATTTTAATCATTATAAATGTATAGTTAACCCCTTGATCACGACTGTGCGCCAATGTTCTTGTATGTGAATTAAACCTTGCTTATACACTGAAGGAATCGTGACGAATCGGAACCAACATCGTGTCAGAATAAAACTAATCTAATAGGCGGGATTCGAACGCATAACCTGAGGGTTGAGTGCGCAACACGGACTAGAGATATCACTGAACAATCACAACAAAGTGCAATGCGATATTATTGCGTGTTTACATTTTTTATTCCAATCCCCATTTTCATGTCCCACCTGCATTTATTTGATCGTAGCATGATCTAGCCTAAATAAAGTCTTTTTAGCCATTTTATTTTTTTTCAAATCGGTCCTGTAGCTTTAAAGTGGAGTAAAAAACAATAAAATCTTTCCTCTTTATAATAGTGTAGATTTTAAACAAAGAAACTTACAAATCCAGCTCTTATAGAATGTGTGAGTCCCGAAACATGATGAATAATGTGTAAAGAGCCGTCGATACTTGCGACTAAAAGTCGCAAATCGCATGGCGATCGTCGCGCGACTCGAACATGAGACGAAAGGGACACTTGAGTAACGTCTTGTAAATTCAGTTGGGACATTCTATCAGTCTTTGGTACATCATACCTTAGCCATAGGAGATTCACGCCACTCTAAAACAATTGCAATTATATATTGTTTTTTATGTAAATAAATAAATATTTTAAATGTAAAAAAATAAATAAAAACAACTTGTTCACCAAATATGTATTAGATATAACCTAGATTTATATTGTACAACAATTAACTATATATGATACATATACAAAGTAAAGAATACTAAAGTTTTTTCAAATAACATCACTAAATATAGACTTCTTTATATTTCATAAAATTTGAATTTAATTACGAATTCCTTTACTGATTGCCATTCAGTACCGGTTATTATTTAACGCTATATATATAAATGTATACGTAATATATAAATGTGTGTCTCAGCTCCTATATATATATATATTTGTAGCAAACATCTGGAACATCTAGATTTGGTAACCTAACCTTACTCTACCAATCAGATAAATTATAAGGGTACAATCTCTAAAAGTAATGATTATGAGTTTCTTAAATTATTTAGATATAATGGTTAAATTAAGGAAGTGTTTAAAACTTCAATAAGACCATTGTTTCAGATCTTTTTAATAATACCTGTTTAGTTGTACTATTATAAAAATATACCTTTGGACAAGCAGATTGTTCAACAATATGTACAAAATAATGTTTCTGAGACAATTCAGCAATCAACACCTCACTCTCAACTTGGTGAAACGCAATCAGGGACACTTTCTGCCTGTAATGAGACAAATAATCATATTTCCAGTAGTTGCTGGAGTAAGCAGATTTATGAAAATATACTTGGTCTTTCTCATAATAAATCAGATGCTAATTAAAGATGTATGTTAGTGCCTGGTAGATAGTACCCGTGAACCCAGTACTCTGTCATAGGGATAAAATTATTATAATTTATTTGTTTTAAAATAATTTGGTAACAATAAATTTCTAAAGTTTTTCACATAATCTATCAAATAAAAGAAGCAGTTTTATTTAGCTTATTCTTAATAATTGTAAGAGTCTATAATAGAACACTTCAAAGACATATAACTTTAAAGCAGCTTTATATTTAAACTACAGCCCATATATATAGTATAATATGTATGTACTTTCAAAAACATGAAGTTAATAAAATATCTTAATGTTAACACATATTCTTAAATTCAAAATACTAAGATGAAAAAACATAAAATTCTTAATACATCATCAAAAATAAAAAAGTTATTTATCTTACACAGTACAGTAGTATTTAAAAAAAAATTAAGTGCAACTTAGTTACCAGCATGGCCTGGTGTCATCCTCTTTGCACATATTGCAGTTAAAGGAACAACCTGATGCATTAATAATATCAACTCTTACCCTTCAATGTAGTAAAGATGTAAGTTAGCATGATCTTCTAGTAATGGACTCCATGGAGCAGGATCAGCTACATTGTTACTCCAAACCAGTATCCTTATACCAGTATTATATGTACACCAAGATACATTCCTCTCTATTTTACGATTTATTCCACCCAGCTCTAGACTCTGTAAATTAAAATAAACATTTTAATGAATTGAAAAATATATAGTACTTACTTTTACTTAATTAATGGAATAAGATAGACATATTATTGACAATTTGCATACACTTAACAAACAAATAAATCTGGAAATAGCTGTATGTACAATTATGATAACAATTAGTATGTAGTATTGCTGATGATCAGTCATGTTCCATCCAAATAAAAAACATCAGCAAAATAACATTAAACATAACTAATTTATACAAAAATATTTTAAAATTATGCTAAAAGCAGTATTAAAAATAATGTCTTACTTGAAGATATGGATCTCTATCAGATATCCGACATGGCACATTATTATCATTTTTCTTTCCTAATACAATTAATGTTGCTATTTTCTCTGGGTGAATAAATAAGATGTGTGAAGGAGATATAACAGCTGAAAATCATAAAAGTCAAATTTAGTTTAATGTAGATTGTAGTGTTTATTTTGTATTTTATTTAAGTAACATTACTTACCACTAGTAACATTGTTTCCCATCAGTTTTCCAATACAATATCTATCAAAGAGTACTTGAATTACATCAAGTGTGTCAGGTTTAATGGTAAGGTAGGCTAAGACTCCAGATGAAAACACTAACGTAATAATATAGTCACTATTCCACTCACAAGTTACGACTACATGATCCCGTACTTTGGATTCCAATTGTTTTATATGGTTTAATCTAGGTGGACGATGGTATGCACCACGACCCTCGCAATATAACCGTTTAGCACAATCATAAACTGACTCTTCAAGTTTCTTTTTCGATTCATATCTGTAATAAAAAAATATAAATTAAGTTTATTTTATATGATTCCAAATCATCACCACTGAAAATAAGGAAATTATAGAAATATTTTATGCTTACTTAAAACTTTTAAAGTCATTATTTTTTACTGTTACTGTGTCATCACACGTAATAAACTTAAGATCGTAACTAAACATTTTAGAGACATAAATAGATTGAATTTTAATTACATTTTTAATACTTTGAACAATTTAATTTTGTTTTTATGATAATAATTATTTTTAGAGCTTAAACAAATTAAAAGTGTTGCCAACTATCAGCTATGAAAGTGCCTAGTTTAAAAAAAATAAATCTAGAGAAATGCTACATTCAAATGTTTTTTCGTGTAAAACTTCAAGATCCACATCCGTATTTTGTGTATCGAGATTTGTATGATCTTTACCTAACTAGCTGGTAGAGTAAAGTTTTCCAAAAGTGACTCAAGTTAAAATAATACATAATATTTATTTTCAAAGTTTTAGTACTCAGAGGATTTTAAATCAAACAGTTAGGAATTAGGATATTTTTAAAATGCTGATTGCTGAATGTCCCTTAATCCAAATATCGCAAAGGTAAAAGGTAAGTTTCTAAATGGAAGGATGGCTACCTAGGGAGATAATAAATTTTGACCGCTGACAGATCTATAATTCCACTAGATCCGGCACAAGCGCGAAGTTGGCATTACTGCAAATCACAGAATAGTGAAACTTTTGGCCTAAAGGTCTAGATACCAGGCCATAAACTCCAAAAAAAAAAAATAGTGAAACTTTTTTTTTCTGGCACGATTTGTGCATTAGCCAGCGTCAGGTATAGGATATTTTTTTATAATTCGTGCTTGTCTTTAGAAATTCGACCGTGTCCTCCATGTACGGTTTTTTGTGCTGCAGAAGCGGGCTGTTCGGGGTATTTGTTGTGTTTCTCCGAGGGAGTCGGTACGGAATAAGTTTAAGGAATTAAATATTATGACACTATCTGGTCAATATATTCTTGAAGCCTTGTTGTATGTCCAAAAAAATATAAACGATTTTAAAACAAATGGTGACTTTCATCAGTATAATACGCGAAATAGAACTAATTTGAGTGTACGACCAACCAGGCTCCAAAAGATAAACCACTCCTTATATGGAAATTGTATTCGTTTTTACAACAAGCTCCCAAGCGAAATTAGAGAATTATCACTAAATAAATTCAAAGCCCTCGTTAAACGAAAATTAATCAACAAAGCTTTTTATAAATTTGAGGACTACTTAAATGATCCTAATCCTTGGGATTGAATTGCTCCAGTTCAAACAATTTGTATGACAATACTTGGCGATTAAAAAGAGTGGCGGAAAGTTTCTTGCCAGTTCTTCTTACCCGCTCTACGCCCTTGACTTGCGAACTGGTAGTAAATGTAAATTTACGATTAATTTAACTTGACGATTCAAAAGTGTACTTGGTTACCTACTTGAATAAAGATATTTTGAGTTTGAGTTTGAGTTTGAAGCACTCGCCCGGTACCGCACAACCCTCCCAAAGGCCGAGAACAAATTTAAAATTAAATTAAAACTTGCCCTCGAACCGGAAATCGAACCCGGTATCCCTCACCTAGCTGCCACTTAATAAGACCGCTAGGCTATGAGGCCCCATAGTGAAACTTAAGAGCCCAGTAGCAATGTTGAGCCGATCGGATTATGGGTATATGTATATCTGATCCCGAAACGATTCGACGACGATTTCGGGATCGGATCATCTTTATACGATGGGAATGGCTGATAGACATTAGACACATAATTACTTTAGATATGGATAGTGGTTTGAACATAATGTTATACTACGTATCTTATTAGTAACGATCAATTAAATTATATAACATTAGTTTGTATATTTTACAAATGTGGACAAAATATCGCTTTTTGGCAAATTACATCCTTATCATTCATTATGCTTACGATTAAATATTACTTCAAAAGGCCTAAAATTCATGTTTAAAATATAAGAATATCATATACTGCACTGCCTGAAATAATAGAAAGTGAATTATTAGCTAATAATAAAGTTGCGGTTTGTATCTTTATTTTATCATCGACTCCTTTAACGTAATTACTTGTTAATAAGTGAGAGTTAATTATTGAGGGCTATAAAAGAGTAATAGAACTAGGGTTGACATACTATTTTTCAGCTTAAAAGGGGCGAATGGTTAAATAGGCAAAAAAATACGGGAATTTATTTTTTTACCCGGGACAATTAAAAAGCAAATTATATCAATACAATTATAATAGTAGGGGTACATTTATTTCTCACATTGCTCCACTTATTGGGAATGTGAGTTCTCTTATTGGGAACGTGGAAGAAAAAGTTTGAGTTAGGAAAACCCTATGTTGACTTTCTTCATCTTCAGTTTATTTCAGATTTAAAGTTTAAAAAGAGTACATTGGAGAGAATATTATTTTCTGAAAAATCTTGTCGTTACAACAGACAGACTGTAAAATTATTGTATATATTATTATATTGTTATTGTAGAACTGTAAAAAATAGTTTTTTAGTAATTCGTTTGCGTCAGCAGTTAATCCACGCATGATTTATTTTTAAATAATTCGTAATAATAATAATCGGAGCACGGTTCGAATACGGGACAGCCAGTCCCGTCGGTACATTTTAAACTAAGCCTAAAATACAGGACGACCCAGGAAACACGGGACGTCTGGCAACGCTAAATAGAATAAAACAGCTTTATGAATGTTATAGAAACGGAAATTCCTTAATGGCAAATAATACCGCTAAGAGCAATTTCAATGTGTTTAATGTGTGCAATCTATTGTATTGACAAGAAACATCTTAGTTTGGTTATATGTGATGTGATGTCAACTGGGAATTAAGAAAAAAACATCACAGTGGACGGTTAAATAACTATCTAGGGACAGTCGCATTAAAAGGAATTTGGTTGAGGCCATACAACAAATGATATTTATCAGTATGCGGCACGGGAATATTGACAACATTTTGTAGTCTTGACCCGCACTTATTTGAGTTGTTTGAATAATGTAGTTATAAAAATCTATGTTAAGAATCTTCTTTGAATCCTTATAGGAATTTCATTAATACGTTCTTAAAGTACTGTAAGGTAGGTTTATTTCTAATTTGGGAGAGATGTCAAAATTAACAATAAATGGTGTACATTAAATATTAGAGCTCAATAATGAAAGCCATCTGGCAGAAGGAATGGTCGCATTAAGCCAGTCCCGTATAATTACAATTTCGTAACATTGCAACATTTACTTTTCGCAAAAATTTTAATTACTTACCCAAAAATGTCAAATAGATTTTTTAAAGATTAGGACTTCAGTCTAGACCTCTCTTTTATTGTAAGGCATGACTAATATCAAGAGCAAATCTATAATATAAAAATGAATCGCAAAATGTGTTGGTAAGCGCATAACTCAACAACGCCTGGACCAATTTGGCAAATTATTTTTTTATAATATTCCTTGAAGTACAAGGTTGGTTCTTACGGAGAGAAAAAATTAAAAAAAATTGAGTGAAAAAGTCTAAAAACAACACTTTTCTATATTGCCATACAAAATATTCGTAATAATACTTAAAAGTCAATTTGAACTTTAATACCATATCATAAAGTTCCAAGTGTTAGTAGAGGGGTTCCGGGAAGGTAAATTTTTATTTTTTGAAATAATGTATTTGTTGTCTTATCAACTTTATTTTTTTTATCTTACTAGCTAGACCGATGTCCGGAATAGCAGAATAAGTATTTAAAAAAAATAAAGAATCGACTGTTAGGCGGTACGATGTTCGCCAGGCCAGCTAGTAACTAATAAAATCCTGCATAAAATTACAATTCAACCGTAAATTAAAATATTTCGTAACTTTATTAAATCAAAATGCTTCGATTTTGCACACAATTCCCGAGTTAATAAAATTGCCATCCTCCTGGAACCAATTAACGACAAGCTTTGCAACAGGATAACGTAAAAACTTCAATTAACGTATAAAAAGTTGTTGGAAAAATTCAAAACTATTTGCCGAAACAATATATTGCATGAGTGAAAAATATTTTACGCTAGCGTCCAGCTCGTGACGGTTAGTATATAAAAAAAAACTAAAATGTTAGCAATCTTTCTAGATTGGATTTTGCTCTACAGTTACAAAATGTTCTCTATTTTGTTGTACCTGACCTGTATTTGTTCAACTATCCCAATTCTGTCAGACAATTAAAAAATACATTCGATCTTATCAGTGCTTCATGAATGAATGACTTGTTGAATTGACTAAGTATTGAACGTATGAAAAATCTTAGCTTTAGTCAAAGCTTGTAGTTTATTGTTTATCAGAATGCAAAATCATAAAATGACTGCTTCACGACTGATTTCAGAGCGACCGCCGATGAGAAAACCGCTGAGTGAGTTACAGAATCGCTAGGCAGTTATATGCAACTGTTGTAATACAGTCGCGTACAGTACAATCATCAATGCGTCCAACGATGATCCTATCTTTAATGATGTGGCGTTGCGTGACGGGTCGTTTAATTCCCATAAATATGGTTAAGAAAAAGGATAGCTGGCTCACACGTCATGCTTGTGAACAGCCTAGCGATTCTGTAACTCACTTTTCGAACTCACTCAGCGGTTTTCGCATCGGCGGTCGTTCTCAAATCAGTCGTGAAGCAGTCATTTTATGATTTGGCATTCTGAAAAGGTGGGAGCTTGTAGTTTATTGTTTAGAACAGAATATAGTTTAGTTACAGAATCGCAGGGCAGGTGCCGCTTTCGGAAACTGGACTGCGAGGTTTTGCAATTTAATAAAAATAAAGAGCGGACCGTATCTCCCTCCTTCTGGTTTCTTCTATATATGTTTGCCATAGTCATTTTGTATGATGATTTGAGTATCGAGAGTATTTTACGTCTCTTGGCATACCCCTCTGTCTTCCTTGCAAATGAGTAGAGATGTCTACCGAGACAAATTTAATGACGTGTAATAAGTGATACCTGTACCTATCTTATATTCCATAATAAAGATACTTAAATACTTAATGGACAAGGAGGCCACGAACCGCAATGGTTTTAGTTTTGTATTTGCTTACAAGAAAATTTAGAATAGTTATATAAGAAACTCATTGCTGATGGTTTTTGTTTCTACGTCTATTCCACTGGTAATTTTTATAATC